ATGACATATATATTAGATATATGACATATATATTAGATATATGACATATATATTAGATATATGACATATATATTAGATATATGACATATATATATATACAACTATAGCAATAGTAATAGTATGTAATAGTAAAATTGATATGTATACATATATGATCATATATGCATATGTGCATTGAGAAAGCGAGAGGCAAATGAGTTTATTTATGTTACATGTGTCGGTCCTTCCAGAAGGGATGATGGGACACCCGCACCGAGGGAACCGGGGCCAACAACCATTGCACAACTGGAATCCGAAGAGGGGAGACTGGGTGTATACCCAGATATAAACCACATAAATTAGATAGACAGTAGGACAGAACGAAGACACAACCTATAGGGATGCAGTCAAAGGTGGTGCTGGCAATTGGAATCCTGTGTTTTTCAGCTGAAGGTCACACTTGAAGACATTCCGTCGAGCCATGATTGTTCCATGTCAGCTGGCTCTGGACGCACCAGTTGCGCCCAGCCTCTCTTCCCAGAATATGTTTGATAAGTAAGCTGCTTAGTTTCCTGTGAATTTCCCCCGAAACCCCAAAGACTTGGCAGTGTGTCAAAACCTTGTACCCCTGTAGTTCACATCAAAATAGCTGGTAAATGGATGTTCATCCCCCTAAAAATGGTATTAATAGGTATTGATCCATAGCCACTTCCACAACACTGTTCCTGCCTTGGCAAAGGCTAAAGCTGCGCGATAGGCCTTTTGGCACTGTTCGTTTCCCGATAGCCCTGTGTCCTGGCAGGACTGGGATGATAATCCCATCCCAAAACGGGTCCAACGGGTCCAACGGTGAAGGTCACGGCTTTTTTTCCCGTCGAACATCAACCAATTAGGGAAGTTTGTGTGTGTACCCTCTGGTAAACATACATAACTATGGAAAATCACCATGTTCAATGGGAAAACTCACTATAAATGGCCATTTTCAATAGCTATGTTAGTTTACTAGAGGGTATATATTTCACAAGGGGATCTCCAACTGGAAAACCATCCTCAAATGGCAGTGGCGCAAAAAAAAGTCTTCACTAAAAATATCGAATTCACATTGGAATGGTTGATCCCTGCTGGTTCCATCCTCAAAATCCTCATGGCTTAGCTTCGATACCATCCCCCCAAAAAAAGTGGGGTATAATCATACTTCTCAATTCATGGCTGATAACTAAGTGATAACTAATGTGGTAAACCCCATAATAAATCATCCCCAATAGAGGTTGCTTGTTATGGGTATACCGTATTTGGATGTATTTGGAATGATGTTTACTATGACCCCCCAGTCATCGTTTTCATGGGATGGTTTTCATGGCGGGGGTATCCCACACTCCCCACTCTTTGATCAAACCAAGGCTGGACACCCCCTCCTTGGCACTATTGGCTGCGGCTTTCCCGGCAATCTCTGCAGCGTTGTTGGATTGACTGAGGCGCAGAAATGGCAGGAGCGAAGCTGGAAACCAAAAAATCTGGCACCACAGGACCCGCGACGTTGGTGATGGTTGGGTATCAAATTCATCATGTTTGGTATCAGTGTTGAGGATTGTGATGGTTGGTTTAACATGGCTCAAATTTTGATGCTCATCTTGAGCCAAGTTCAACCTCCAAAAAGGATCGATTGGCGCAGGCCCTCAGTGGGAGCTCTGCAGTGCCCATCTCACTTTGTTCTGAGGTCTGAAGCCAATAACGAACGAGTTTTTGAACGGCAAACAACGGTCATATCGTCAATCATCGTGAGCATAAGCGGTAGGATTGATCATTGCCAGCCACAAACAGTTTGCTTGCTGATATAAATGACTTCAAACACTAGTCACCCACTTAAACTGCCTTTTTCAGGACTTCCTAGAAAATCTAGAAATCACAGCTTGGGCCCCCAGGCTCTTCCCCGAAGACAATGGCCTGGATGAGATCTGGAGCTGGGTCAAGTCATTGGGGTAATCCCAGCCGGGCGTTTCCAGAGAACATGTCCGGTTTCACCATCGAATTTTTGGGGTCCAAAGTCAACTTCAAAACCAAATGAGCCGAAGCCACCGTAGATGGCACATGATGAAATGGATATGGCTTAGAAATTGAATGTTCACCACCAAAAGAAAAGTAAGGGTTGCGGTTGAGCATTTTGTACCACCCCGGCTGTGCCTCGCCCGCTCGAATGGCCTCCCAAGGTGTGAGATTTGGAATGGCATCTTCCAGGGATGGACAAGTAAAAGAAGGCTTGCAACCATCAAACCTAAAAATCATCATGTTTCCAAGGTGTTTTTTCCCATGTTTTCATGTCGACACCACGAACGAAACCACTGCCTGCTGCGCCACTTGGTTCGCCTGACCGCGGAGCATATTTTTTTTAGAGCCGGTTGGGTCCAAAGGAAGGGATGTAAATAATGTAACATGTGTATGTAGACTTATATAGTTCAATGGCACCTCAAAAAAGCACAATTTAAGAATCTTCCATGCTGGGCAAAGCCACCCACAGGGTATCCCACATGTTATTTCAACCATTTCATCCAAAGTTCGCCCAAAAAATATCAAAAAAACATAAAACGCAAACCGCCCTGTCGCCATGCGTACCTCCTGGTGAGTGAGGCTGCCATCTTGATAGGACGCAGCATGTGCTGCGGCCTCGCCAATGTCGTGCGCCTGAGGCCGTGCCAATCCTCCGATGGCTGCTGTGCCGGCCGCTGCCACATAGGCACGAGTGGCCTGGCAGCCCCTGGTGGTCCCTGGTGGATGGTGGAAGCAGATTTTTTGGGAACCAAATTGTAAGGCTTGTTTTTCTGGGGGAAATCAGATGTTATGTCATATTTCACCAAGTTGATGTCACGTCACGAGAAATCGTTTCAGGTCCCTCCAATAGGTGAAATCTGCGTCTCACCATGGCTGGGAAGGTACCTGTTCTTGTGGGCATCCCATTGAGTGGTCTGCAAACATGGGAAAGTGATCCTACATGTTGGGATTACCCCAGTTTTTAGGTCTTACTCGTGCCAAGCATGACTACTGCTCAGTCTCAAAGTGTGGGGGTTCATCCGAGTAGCTGCCGGCTGGAAGCGCTGCCGCGATTCAGTGGCCATGAAACGTTGGCCATCAGCCACAAGGACGTTGGATCCCAGAGGCTCTCCGAGAAACAAATCTAATACATATTATATTATATATATATACATGTTTCAAGAGAGAGATCAGCAAAAATGATCATGATTTACCATTTGGGAAACTCAATTCGTAGCTCCGCTTGGCTCAGCTCCGAACAACTCCCGACAAGCAGATACTTGGAGAATCATCCCACTTAGTAAATGGTTAATAAACCTAGAGACACTTTTAAAGTAACCCAACTAGTATTTAAGTTACTTACTAGTTTCTTAACCCACTTTAGTGAACGTATTTAAGCTACTACTTTTAAATGGCTTCCAACAACATGGTTACGTTCACCAGGAATTCAATCCGCGAGATGATCCTCTGAGTCACCGGTTGTCAAAAAAATGTGTCCATTTGTTGGTCTATGAACACCATTAACCATAGTTAACTATAGTTTACTATAGTTAACTATGGATAACTATAGTTAACTATAGTTAACCAACAACTATAGTTAATAGTTAACTATTCATAACCATTAACACAGATTCATAACCATTAACTATAGTTAACCATAGATAGACCAACAAACATAATTGTTCACACCATTTAATCGACAGCATGAATCGTGTGTTAACTATCACCATATTGTCCATACCTAAGACAATCTCAAACATCAATAGGGACTCACATCATCAATTATCATGGATCCGTTAACATCCATTGACTATACATTTCACCATAGGTAGCCTAACAAACAGAATGCTTGACACCACCAATATTTTTATACTTTTTGTGGCATCCTGGTTTTTCCGTTCACCAGTTACAATCCGCATCCTCCGAGTTGCCACGATCAGTTAATTTTGTTTGTGCTGGTCTATAAACACTAACAGGCATTGACTATAGTCAAGCAGAGACAGCTAACATCGTTGATCATCAAGATATCTCCGTAGATGTTATATAATCCATATAATAAATCTTTATTAGTATCCATTAACCGTAGATGTTTATCACCATCATGGATACTATCGCTTAATATTCCATTAATATCCATTGAGATCCATTAACCAAAGATGATTAACATCCATCAACATCGTTAACTATAGTGATTAACTTACCATTAAGATCCACTCACCATTAATATCCATTAACCATATCACCACTAACGATAGATATTTTCGCTCCATATCCATAGATAATTCAATCTAGCCACCCATTAACTATAGATTCTGGTGGATATTAACATATATTAATCATTTAACCATCCAGTAACTATAGATTAGGGATCTATAAATTATAGATTATGGATGACTAATATATCTATAGATTCTGGTGGATATTAACCATTGATAGATTATGGTGGATATTAACATCAACATTGATAGATAATGACATCATTAACTATAGCTCTACTAACTTACCATTCGTATCAATTCACCATTCATATCCATTAACATATATTAACATATATTAACCGTTTAGTCATCCATTATAACGGTTAATATATGTGAATATATGCCATTAACCATTATAATTATGTCATAAAATGGTTAATTAACCATAATTAACTGATTATTATTATGGATACCATCTAACATGTCATATATATTAACATCCATCTATTATAACTACAGATTCTGGTCCAATTCGGGTGCCATCGCACTGGCACCTGACTCTGGGCACTCTGCCCCGTCGCGCTGGCCGCCTTGGTGGCAGCTGCACCGGCCGCTACGGCCTCGAAGCCAGCTGAGATGACCGAAATCGTGCGTTTAATAAGTCGGTTTTGATGGTGAAAATGTCCTCACAATTGCTCCAAAGTGCAATTCTGTTGGTTTTTGGGACATGTTTTCAAAACAAGCAACAAAAATGGGAAAAGCAATGGAAATGGATCCTTCGCCAAAAAGGCGTCTGACAATACTTTGCCAACCTGGTCCTGGATGGGCTGGCCCTTCGCCTGCGCATCGGATTTCTTTTATCTCTGAAAGTCATGGAACTAAAATTCAACAAGTCTCTGAAAATTCACATAATTGGACAATATGAACCAAAATTCAGAATTTGGACTTCGATTCTGTAAGTCTATAGATTCATATTGTAGAATTATGTGGCCAAATTCAACCGATTAGATATCTACAGCGTGTATGTACAGTAGGCAAAAAGCCCGCAAGTGCCCTGCCTCCGCTGCATTTTTGGCGGCTTGTGCTGCCTGGTCCGGATTCGAATAGGCCTTGGCAAAGGGTCGGCGGTCAAGGGAACAGGATCCACCAGACGTGGAGAAACATATTGCAGAAACATACTATATATTACATATAGTGAAAATCCAGAAAAAAACATGTTGATTATCCAAGCGATGGTTGATCACAGTCATGCCACCATCATCGGTCCCAGGTATGACCTCAAGGAATGGTTGATACTGAGGAGGCAAAATGGTGATACAAGATGATACAAGCTGGTTGGTGTTCAACACTACAATGTGAAAACTGCTGGTTGAGCCACCATGGCAAAACAATATCACAGTTTGCTTGGGATCGGCATCCCATTATCCCATTCATGTTGGATCGAAAACATATTATATTATATTATATTATATTATATTATATATTATATTATATTATATTATATTATAGTATTGAGTGATATATTATATTACATTACATTATATCATATTATATTATATTATATTATAGCAATAATTAGAGTTATATATATATAGAAGTATAGTATAATATGATATGATATTATATTGTATCATATCATATTATATTATATCATAATGTTTTCATATATTATAATATAATATAATATAATTTATCATATTATATTATTATTAGTAGTAGTAGTAGTAGTATTATTATTATCATATCATACCATATCCGCCGACCCCTGCCTTAGCCAAGGCAGGGGCGGCGCCTGGGACCACCGCAGGTGTGGAACTTTTTTTCTTTCCCAATGCTTTGCACTTTCCACGAGCCACCCAGGCCATAGCACTCTCTGTTCACCGCCCAGGAGCCACTCAGGCCACAGCAATTTCTGTCCACTTCCCACGGGCCACTCATGCAGCAATCTCGGTTTCTACGGCGTTCCCAGACGCAACAGGCCGCGGCAGACCCTGTGCAGCTCCAACAAGTCCCTGAAGCCGTGGCAGTGTCCTTTTAAGGAGGTTCAAGGCTGCCGTTCGCCAGGCTTCAAAACTCGCCAAAACTCCCCAAACGCTTCCCTGCAGCTCCCAGGCGCCACTCAGGCCGCGGTGAACCTTTCCTGCAGCTCAACAAGTCCCTGAAGCCGTGGCAATGTCCTTTTATGGAGGTTCAAGGCTGCCGTTTGCCAGGCTTCAAAACTCGCCAAGACTCTCCAAACGCTTCCCTGCAGCTCCCAAAGCCGTGGCAATATCCTTTTATGGAGGTTCAAGGCTGCCGTTTGCCAGCCTTCACAACTCGCCAAAACTCTCCAAACGCTTATAGCACTCTCTGTTCACCGCCCAGGAGCCACTCAGGCCACAGCAATTTCTGTCCACTTCCCACGGGCCACTCGTGCAGCAATCTCGGTTTCTACGGCGTTCCCAGACGCAACAGGCCGCGGCAGACCCTGTGCAGCTCCAACAAGTCCCTGAGGCCGTGGCGGTGTCCTTTTAAGGAGGTTCAAGGCTGCCGTTTGCCAGGCTTCAAAACTCGCCAAAACTCCCCAAACGCTTCCCTGCAGCTCCCAGGCGCCACTCAGGCCGCGGTGAACCTTTCCTGCAGCTCCAACAAGTCCCTGAGGCCGTGGCAATGTCCTTTTAAGGAGGTTCAAGGCTGCCGTTTGCCAGGCTTCAAAACTCGCCAAAACTCCCCAAACGCTTCCCTGCAGCTCCCAGGCGCCACTCAGGCCGCGGTGAACCTTTCCTGCAGCTCCAACAAGTCCCTGAAGCCGTGGCAATGTCCTTTTGCCTCTGCCAGCCTTCAAAACTTGCCCACGCCTCCCTGCGGGTGGCCTTTCTACATGCAGTTGCTCCTAGAAAGCCTAATGGCTCTTATTTCTTTTTTGTTTTCGTTGTCTTTTTCTCGGGAACGTGCCACTGCTTCTTGTGACATGGTTTTCCCGATGGCATGTCATGCGTGACAGCAATGCGGCCACATGACAGCGATGACCAAACAACAGTGGAGCAGACCGGGCAACTGTGCGTATGACGCCGTGTCTGCTTGCTGACTTCACCGTCCTTGACGTACAATTGATTGTTGCACACAGATCGATGGTTGATTTGCCCTGTCTTCACGTTGCTGTTCACAAGTCCATTGCAAAATGGGCACTGGTAAACGAAACTTTTCTTTGCGACAACGCCGTCCTGCACCTGAACTGCTTCAACTTCATGGTGTCTTCTTGACATCACTTCATTCATTGACATCACTTCTATGACTTCTATGTGCCAGCACCGAAATTGAGGCAGCCTGGTTCCAAAACATGGGACCGAGACTGCCATGACATTGTGTGATTCCGGGGTGTTTCTGCTTACAACACCCTGCCACATCTCGTGAAACAGAAGGCAAAAGAAAAATCCATGTATCTATATATATATATCCATAATACATGATAGATACTATAAATGCAACTGGAAAAGTAATGGTGATTTACCCTCTGGTACTGCCTGTCCCACCCCCTTTAAAGGGGGTCGGCGGCACCCGGGCGCTAGCCCATTCTATTAGATATATATATATATGTATGTATATAAATATACATTATGCCTTGTACATATATTCTTCATCATGCAGCTGAGACATGGGAATGCTTCCACGGTCAGCTCAGATCCCAAGGCTCCCAACCCCTGGCAGGCACTGGCTGTACCATCGATTGATCATGAAGCAGGTGCTGCCGACCTGGCCATCAGTGAACTCCGGAAAGGCTGATGTTCATGGCATCCAACATGGTTTTTCGAAGTGAACAAGAAGAAAATGGAGATCTTGTTGTCCTCCAAAATGTGGTTTTTCGATCTTGCGAAAAACTCTATTTCTGTGAACCTTGGTGTTTTTATCCAACAAGATCTGGTGATAACTTGGATCCCAACAGAAATAGAGATGCCCTGGGCACTCCAGCATGGCCATATGGACAAACCAAGGCTCTGGTGCCCGTCATTGCTTCACGTTTTTTTTACATGGGATGAACATGGTGATTTAATGAGGTTTTAGTGGGATTTAACCAACCAAAATGGTGATTTAATTGGGATTTATTGGGATCTTTAACCAACCAAATGTTTTGCAAATCTTTCTCCAGATGCTACTTGGGACATCCAGCCTGACATCTGCTGATGCCAGTCCATTCCTTCCCACCGCATTGCGCATACCTGACACCACGGGCTCTGGGGATCCAGTGCTCCAGGACCAAAAGCACTCGCGCAGAGCTGGTTGGGTTGCCCCCGAATCCACCAAGTCTCATTGGTTGAAAAAAATGTAATGTTCTTGACTTGGGTGGATGGTGGATGCTGGGTCAGTCGGCAGCTTTGTTAATCCTCTCGAGAATCCAAACAGCCTCCTGGGCACTGTCTGAAGTCTTGGCCAAACCCACCGATTGAACGATGGTACGCTGAGTATCTGACTGGTCACTGAAAACACACTCGCAAATGAAGGAAAATGTCCACTTCAAGTCACTTCAATCTAACCCAACCATCATGTTCAAACTGACCACCTCCATCTCAAATATCTATATATCTATGTTTAAACAAACAAATCAGAATCCACCTCATCTCCCATCCCCCCAATGGCTCCCCGGTTGCTTCCCAGCTACGGCAGGGCCGGCAGGTTGGCGTTCTGATCCACCAGGGCCTCCGTGGCCCTCTCCGAAGCACTGCAGTGACACCGGGCGAACTCGCCACTGGCGAAGGCGCTGTCGCAGCTCAAGTCGTACCTGTTGACGCCCGGCGAAAAATGGAGATGGGGGTTTTTGTTAGGATGTTTTAGACCTATATAATATACTTATATATATATATACTAATATATATACACTAATATATTTAGAAATTTGTATATATGGAAATTTGTATATATGGAAAGATATATATATATATACGTATGTGTATATGGAAATATTGGAACAGATGGAAATCTCCAACCTCCAAAATCCTGAAACTCCTCCAACACTCCAAGCACTGCGCACTCGTCCGGAGGCTGCGCTGAGCAGCTGTGGGTGAAGGCCTTCTGGGCGGACAGACACTTCAAGCCACCTGCGACACCCATGGCGACCAAGGTGATGGCTGGGGGCTGGGGGTATCTGCGTTGATAAACGTTGACAGATGTTGGTAATCCCATCCCCCTAATATTTTTTCACCCCCTTAGAAACCATGGTTTAATAGGGAATGTCCACATAATTGGGATCATTTGGGGGGTGTCTAATATTAGGGTGATGGGGTTAGATGTTCTGTACCTGAGACCACAAAAAAATGACTATATCATGATGGTTTGTCATGTATACATCAAGCAAAAGCCACGTAGCTCATGAGAGAACGTCTGCAAATGGGCAGTTCCTGAGTCTTCTCTGGGCCCCACGCCCTGTGCCGCGCAGTAGGAGTTGCAGCTGCCAAAAGTTGCCTTTGAAGTCGTCGACTGCTAGCGCAACAATGAGTGAAAATGGTTTCAAACCTAAGAGTCGCCATCTAAATCTCATGGGCCATGTGGTGCTACACTTCTCCACTTGTCGTTTGATAGAAAACAAGTTGCCCCCGAACTCACATGCCCTGGCTATTCTGGGCATCCCCAACAAAGATGTTTGGCACCGTCACGTCGCAGTCACCACAAACTTTGCCTGAAGCAGAACACCAGGAACATCAAGCCGGAAGGTATTCAAAAAATGTGATGTGGAAACCCAAAATACCATCCCCAAGATCACCACACATTTGTGGTATAAACCCTCCTAAAGCGGAGGTTTCTTGTTGGGTGTACCATATTACCCAGAAATTGCACAAAATCTTTGGTCCCCTGCGCAGTCCAATTCGCAGGACCCATTAAAAGGTGGATCTCAAACTGACGGCACTTGGTTGTCGCTCAAAAACTGGGTGCCAACGGGCCCTCGAATGCAGGAGTTGACCATGATAACTCACCGGCTACTAACTGGGATAGTGACCAAACTAATTCGGATGGTGGAATCGAATTGTTGGAAAAGGTCATTGAAAGTCATTAAAAGTCATTGGCGATATCATGATCCCCAAGAGTCAGTGAAGAATACTACTAGTTTGATCTATTTTGCAACAGAGGAGTAAAAGTACAGAGATCATATTAAAAACTACTAGTTGGTTCCAATATGTATATATTAATATTACTAGTATCATTAATATTTATTTATTGTTATTATTATCATTATTATCATTATCATTATTGTTATTGTTATTATATATTATATATATATAATTGCTATATTATTATATGATATTATTTTATTATATTATACAGTATTACATTGTATTATATTATGTTATATTATGTTATATTATGTTATATTATATTATATTATATTATGTTATATTATGTTATATTATGTTATATTATGTTATATTATGTTATATTATACTATAAATATATATATATATATATACACATTATATATATATATTATATTATATTACAACTCGTCACTAGTTGATTCCAATATCTCCTCGTTTTTCCGATCCTCCCAGTTGGCTCAAGCTCCGGACCAACACCATTCCAGGTCACCTTCTCTCCACAGGTCACCTGGCACAGCATGGCTCGAAGGATGTTGGTCATCATCAACAAATAATGGGAGTATCATTGGATATAATGGGGAAAATGTGGCCAATTCATGGGAGTATCATTGGATATAATGGTTTAATGTGGGTAAAAGAATGCCATAAACCACCCATGACTGGGAATGGTAACCATACCACCTATAAAAATGGTGATGACTGAGGGATGGTTTATGGCATTGTTTTACCCACATGACCGAATTATATGTTTATAAACCACCAATGAAATATCCTACATGTCCAAAAACTGCTGGCATTTGATGACTTGGAATTTCGTTTTGCATGTCTAGAGTCTAGTCCGCAGGAACCTATGCCTATGCCAACAATGCGAAATCATAAGAGAGTTGCAACCCCTCAACATCAAGTCGCTCTGTCTGAAGAGAAAACCCGTGGTTCGGATCCCAGCCGCCTGTGTAGGCAAGCCTCTTTCCACGTCTGCATGAGGATAGCTCATGGGCAACACCCGGCCATCCTGGTGCCAAGAAAAATGCATCCATTTTTTCCTTGAGGAAACAAAATAACATACGGAGACCATGACAAGGGGAATGTTTCAAACCATGTTGAACGTGTGATTCTGCATCCTGAGTGCACTCGGCCACCATGTAGGTGTTGAAGCCGTAGTTGGACTTGAATGCTTGACCTGTGACAGGCTCCTAGGCTCCGCCATGCCATTTGCACCCTCGTGTGATCCCTTAAGCGCTTCAGCCAAGGACTTTCCGATGTCAATATGATAACAAGAATGAGTGTTATATCCAAAAATGGTGCATCCAAAAACGATATGAATCCAACACAGAAATGCATCCAACACAGGTCGTGTGCCACACAAATTCAGCTACGGGAGGACGTGACCCGCGTTCCTTCCCGCACCTTGTCCGTTCATGACAAAGTCGTAGGGTTCGCACAGGTTTCCATTGTTGGAATGACAAGTCCTGGCGACAAGTCCTACTGAGACCTAGGGTGACTATCTCCTAGAAACTTACCCTCTGGTAATGACTAACATAGCTATTGAAAATGGCCATTTATAGTGGATTTTCCCATTGAAACTGGTGATTTTCCATAGTTATGTTAAATTACCAGAGGGTAGCTAGGTAGAAAATTGCTGGGACAGCTTTTTTATGCATGGTTTCTCCAAAATGTTTTCATGGGCCACAGCAGCTATCATTGGTTCTATCCCCACTTGTCGAAAAGTTGGTAGCCTTAATGAAGTGATCCACACCCGTCTTTGGTCCTTGTTCCAACGAACTAAACACACATTGACATGGCCAAGATAAGGCTCGGACCCTCCGCCACACCACACACATGGCTGTGCTCTGGCCTACCACATGCCATTGACTCCAGTGTGAGGCAAACATCAAGGGATCTCCAGACTCCCAGGTATCAACTGGTTGCTTTAACCGCAACCCTAGAGATCATCGCCAGGCGCAGCATATCCTACAACCCCTTTGCAGGTGAAGTGAAGTTGGTCCCAAAAGTGCTTGTAGTTACGGCTCCAAAACATTATATATATATGTACACATAGGTCCGATTATTTCCAAATAGAATAATTGGAGATGAATGTGTTGAATCAAAAAAATCAGCAAGTGTCCAAAGTCCACATGCCATGCAGTTGCTTTGCTATCTATCCCGACGCCTTGAAGCCGGCCACTTCCACATATGGCCGCGCGTCCAAACTCGCCAAGCACTGGTGTTTCTCCTTGCGTGCGCGATGGGATTCCTTGATCTCCAATGTATTGAAATATTGGGTAGAACCTCCCGAACTAATCATCAATCTGGCTATGCATCGAAAATATTCGATGGAATACTGGAACCACAAGCGGCTGGTTGTTTCTTGGATCAAGCTTCCAATTTGGGCATAAAGAAATAAGTTGCATTCATGTTCGGCCATGTCAATCTGTCAAAAGTGGACTAAAGGAAGAAATAACGGCTGGAGCCCAGGCTGGAGCAAACGAAAGAATCATCCAGGGAGGCAAAACCTTTGAAATAGCCATCGGGGAACATCGAAATTTGCCATTGCTGAGAGACGCCAATACGGCCATTAAGGATTAGGACAACTGGTGAGAAACCCATGGTCGTAATCCACTTGTCAATAGGATCTTCCAATTGAGGCACTTAGTCAAACACGCACCCGAAAACCTATCCATATATCTATAGAAGATTCATGTGTATATTTTATATATATACATTAGATGTGAGGTGTAAAGCATAGATGTTAAACACACTCGTTCACACCAGGTTCACGCTCGCATATCCTTTTCTCCTATTTCCTGTCGCTTCGTATGGTCTCAACCTGCCTCCAGCAGGATTAATGCTTTGGGTAGCTGTGTAGGTATCCTCCTACACAGCAGCACTGGTTAGATCCATACTCCCTGTTCCGCACTCCTGTCAACCCAGGAGGCTACACAGGGTGAATCCTTCCCACCTAGTGCTCAGTCGTGCAACGGCACGTAGAGATCAACATCCGCAATGATGTGATCCCCTACAAGAGAGGATACTCCACAGGAGTCCTATCTCATAGGGAGGGAAGGGAGGGAAAAGAAGAATGATGAAGCCAGTTTGGCTCAGACTTGAGCCAAAATGGATTCATCAACTTACACACTCACCCTAATGATAATGCACACCCAGTGCCTGCCAAACACGATGCATACATACATTAGATGTGAGGTGTAAAGCATAGATGTTAAACACACTCGTTCACACCAGGTTCACGCTCGCATATCCTTTTCTCCTATTTCCTGTCGCTTCGTATGGTCTCAACCTGCCTCCAGCAGGATTAATGCTTTGGGTAGCTGTGTAGGTATCCTCCTACACAGCAGCACTGGTTAGATCCATACTCCCTGTTCCGCACTCCTGTCAACCCAGGAGGCTACACAGGGTGAATCCTTCCCAATGCACTTCATTCCTCCCAAAGCACTTAGAGAAATTCCACGACCTGAAGAAACGCAGGAAGTGGTAGAGACCACAGCTCGAAGGGGAAAACTGCGAAATGCGTGGTGAACCCATGGCGCTTGTGCCATGTAGCCTGGAGGCCCACACGACTGATCTCGTCGGACCAGTTGGCCTTGCTAGGGATCCACTCCCAAAAGAACCAGGCTTGGAGTGCAAAAAGAGTGATATGAATCAGACGAGTCATATGTTCTAAATCTGCATTATCTGAACGTCCTCGAATCAGAGCCATCAGCGCCGCTGTATTGTCAATGAACCAAAGTCCTCTACGGCCACGAAACGTCGATGGACGGGTGAAGAGCGCATAGAGGACCTGCAACAACTCCAGTTGGGCAATCTTGGTGTCTCCTGGCTCCCAGAGGTTGTACACCACTGGGGGGATGATCGAAACAAAGGCCTCCCGCCGCTGGATGCAGCCATCATGCCAGACGACCAAGAAGCCGCCTGTCCCTTGGCCTGGGATTTCCAAGGCTGCATCTGAGGCCGCCAGAAAACGTGGCCCTGCATGTGGCCAAATCTCGATTGTCCTGGAGGGTTTGGTAGCTATGACAGCGCGCAACAAGTCAAAGCATCGACCCAGCTCCTCAGTTAACTCTGAGGTACGCTCCTGTTGTCGGCGCTTGATCGGGGCTAAACCTCCGCACCCAATACGCCCCCATACTCCCAATTCGAAGAAGTTGGCCACGCCATAGATCTTGGCTGCAACTCCTGGTTGAAGCCGGCTGGAATCCTCAGCGTGCTTCATGAGATGAAGGAGCTTCTGTTCGATGCGTTCACGGGCCCAAAACTGGATGGTGCCTTGGGTGTGAATCTGACTGAAGTCATGATCGAGCCCCAAGAAAGTGCCTGATTGCTGCATCCTCTGGCACTTCTCTGCTGAGAAGGGTGTGCCCAAAAGATTGTTGAGAAACTGCATTGCTCGTTGACCGGATCCTTTGCAAGACTTCCTATCAGTCACATGAGCATCATCGAAATACAAGCTGGTCAAACAGAAAGTGAATCGACGCGCCAATGCTTCCACCAGCCTACTGTAGCGATTGAAAGACGTGACTGCCAAGGGGAGACCAAAAAGCAAACCAGTGTAAATCATAAAGGCAGGCTTCTGCCATTCATGGTGGAAAAATGCCACAATGCAACATAAAGCCTCATCCGTGCTCATGGGGCAAAATCTGTAAGCATCTGGCCAGTCCTCACCGCCCGATTCCCATTCTTCTGTGTCCCAGATGGGAAGGGCTCCATATGCGCAGGCATACTGTAGATGCTGAGCTGGCCGAAGGGCTGAACAAAGGGTGAGCTTGTTGGCGTCGCTGGAACGCTCAGACTGTAGGCCTACATAGGCGTCGTCAATCACCCGTTGCTTCCCCGAGGATTGTGTGATCACACATCGAGGAATCAAACGATAAGGCTCTGCACCCAGCAAACTGTGCAGTTCCTCTGCATCCATCGGCAAGCTGCAGAAGCCTTTCTCAGCATCCTTGAGGCTCTGTTGTAACATGAATTCATCATCGTTGCCAGGCCTCAAACGAGTCAGGATCCACCGGTTGTGGGTCCTCCAATCACGAAGGACATCCTCCCGTGTCAAGTGGGATGCCTCCTGCTCTGGGAATATGCCATAGGGGGTGCGTATCCCACTGCTGGGAGCCCCATGCAAAGGCCAGCCGGCAGCGTCACATCGCCCCAGTTGGCTAAAAGCAACAGGATGGCTGTGAAACCAATGTCTCTTTGTGCAGTGGCCGTCCGGATTGCCTCAGTCTGTTTGGTCCTCAAATGTTCCGTGACCTTGCTCCAGCGCCTCTTCATCTCGGCTAAAAGGCCCATAGCACGTTTTCTCAGCTTGCTCAGGTCGACTCCTGGCATGCTTGAGAAGGAAGCCGCAAAGCGAAGGTCATCATCCAACACCGGAAGCCCTTCTGTAGGCAAAGGTTGTACACTCAGTTGCAAAGCTTGCTCAAAATGCTGGTCCGGGTGAAGATGGAACGGCAAGAGGGGTGCCAGCGCAGCCCTGTGGTTGATGGCCCCCACCTGCTGGCCCTCAGCTGTCCGCATCTTCTGCCGCACGGAAGGAGCTGCCAAAACTGGGTTCCAGCTGCCTTCCATGTCAAGCCCCTGTTGGTGCCTCCAACGAGTATACAGGTCAAGCGGGTGCTGGTTCACCAAATCCTCGACGAATGGGATGGCAAGCCCATCCAACCAGTCACCTGGGTAGAGCTTCTTGAACGCCAGCGCCAGTGACTCCTGCAGGATGTAGAAAGGCCCAAAAGGGGTGCCCGTCGCTTTGGCAATGCTCGACAGGAGGACACTGCGTGTCACTGCCGTGTGGCTCCTGCCATTCGATCCTTGGACAACTTGGGGAGCTACTGGATGGCGATGTAAGCTGAGCCGGTCAAACACAAGCCCTGCCAAGAGATCAGCCTCGCAGGTCTGTGCTGCTGGGCAATCACACACCAAAACCTTGCCTTCCAGCTCGTCCAGCTCCTGCCATAACGTCTCTCTGACATACTGAACAAAGAGGGGAAGCCAATCTTGTGGTGTGCAATTCACCCCAACTTGCCAAGGAGATTTCCACTTCGTTGTCTGGAGCCGGTGAGCGTGGTTTCCCATACCCACATAGACGTGCCCCAGGGGCAACTCGCCCTGCTGCAGCACCTCCTCGACACAAGCCCGGGTTGGCACACGAGCCGCTTCCGCCGTGTCCACCGGCCTCAACCCCAGACTGATTGCCAAAGGAGTCATAGCCCATTCTCGGAGAGACCTGGGGTCCAAGTCAAGCCAATGATCCCTGTGACCGGTACAGCTAGGGGATGGCGAACGCGGCACATACAATTTGGCATGACCAACACGCACCGCCCACCATGAAGCCGCTGTGGCGATCGCAAAGCAAAGTTCTGCTGTGTACTCGGACTCCTCAGCGGATGGGTAATGCCGTTGGCCGTCTTGGATCCATGGCTCCCATTCCTGTGGGTCATGAAAGTGGTTGCAGTCAGCCCTGGGCCATTGTGCGATTTCTGCAATGTTGTGCCTAAGGCGTTGCAACTTCGCCCTGGCACCTCCAAAGCAACATGCTGAGTACCGCTGGTCTGACCACCGACCACTATCCCACATGCTAACTTCATCCGGCGTCCACCAATGAAGGCTGTTGTATGGGTTCTCCCGGACAGAGCCACCCCCCCGATCTACCAACTGGTCAATCTCAGAGAGCACAAAGCTGGCAGCTGCGTTGTCCTTCTCCACCCTGCTGTACTGAGACCCTGTCAACTCAGGAAGCCCCAGCGGGTGTTGTTCCGATCGCAACGGTCGGGGTGGTGGCCTACCATCTCCAAAATCTCGGGGGATCTCTCTGGCCCGGCTCTTTGTAGAACAATCCAGGGCGGCTGCAATGAAACAAACCGATTGTAACTGATCATGCAGTGATTGCTGCCTCAGGCTGTTGGATAGGTCGTGACCCCGGTCAAGCATCCAGTCCACTGAGATAGTCTCCCAACCACAGAAGATGAACGCTTTTGACAGGGGTACGTTGGGCCCCGCATAAAGATCTGCCATCCGCGGCAGCTGACAGTCAACTCTGTCTACGGGTGTTGCCTCTTCCTGCCCGGCAGAAGTCCCCGCCTCCTCTGCTGGGCACCGTCATGGCGATACCTTGGCCCTGCACTGGCCAGCACCATGCCCCGGCATACCACAGACTCGCTCCCCCCGGACAACCGCACCACACTTGTGCTGTCCTTGAGGACAGGAGCCTTTGGGATTCTTGCA